GGATGGCTTCGAATTTGCATGCCTAGGGTTTGCGAGGGTCGCACTTATGAGCATGCAATGACCCGATGGGTCATTTTGAGTTCTAGCCTCTCATTTTATGATTTGATACTTTATATATCTTTATTCGATGATTTATGACTTGCATGCACGATCCGTTTTATTTTCTAGAAAGTTTAAATAAGATTTTTCAAAAAAAGTTTGATTTTTGAATTTGAAAATTATTGGAGTTGATCACGGTCAACATTGTTGGTAAAGGACCTCAGATCGGTATTTTTGACGATTCTGGTAAGTTCATACGATGATTTTGGACTTGTAAGCAATATGAGCAAATGTATTCCATGAATGTATTCATATATTTTTTTAATTAATATAATTTATGTATTCAGATGTATATATGTATTCAAATATATCTGCAGGATGTATTCATATGTTTTTGCACTATAGATGAATCTCAAATTTTATTGGTTAAAAACAGAAACACCCACGAACGATATCAACAGATTATGGGTGATGTAATTGAGTTATTTGTGTTATATTAGGAGTCTATTGTGTTAATTGATTCACTTTCCGTTTAAAAACAGCTGAATAGACCACGATTTGTGCTATTTACGTTACTGTATTCACAAATACATATCGTGAATACAGTCAAATACAATAATTGTCTAGATGGAATCCTCTGTTTCACGCCGAATTTTACTACTGTATTCATGAATACAATAGCTTAAATACATCGAATACACTCTAAAAAACTGAAAACATAGCTATAGGAAGTAATATAGTAAATGATAGCTACAACTAGCTAATAACCACTAAATAATAGTGGTTTGTGAAAATTTATCTAAAAATATATGGAAGTGTTTGGGCTGCTACTTTAACTAAAATGCCACAACAACAATAATAATAATAATAATAATAATAATAATAATAATAATAACAATAACAATAACAATAATAATAACAATAACAATAATAATAATAATAATAACAATATTAACAACAATAATAATAACAATAATAATAATAATAATAATAATAATAATAATAATAATAACAATAATAATAATAACAACAACAATAATAATAATAATAATAACAACAACAATAACAACAACAATAACAATAGCAATAACAATAATAATAATAATAATAATAATAATAATAATAATAATAATAATAATAATAATAATAATAATAATAATAATAATAATAATAATAATAATAATAAATGTCCAACTAAGCTAAAACAGAAATCACCGATTGATCGGGAACTGGAATTGTTTCACACCTCTGCTGACTATTATATGTCCACCGAGGTTTTCACCAGTTAAAGATCTCTATTTTAACACGATTGAGAGTTCTTAATCTAGCTAATTCAGTATCCTTATGTTTAAAGACTGGCGGTAATCCGCACAATCAGTAAGGCTATAAGAATCGAAATATACTTAAATTTTTTATATATTTTGATGACTGTATGGAAGGTTAAACCATTTACTCAAGCAAGGGGTCTGTCTTAATATAATACATACTCTCATTGAGCCCATGTGTCTAGCAGTTCTAACCGTGAAAGAAGATGTCCTTTTCAGCTCATTTATCGGGCTAAGGTTCACGGCTGGCTAGACGAAGCCACTAAGGCAAAGCCAATAAGAGTAGTGCTATATTAGACAGTACCAACCATCTCGAAACCAAGTCAAGAAATTATATATAAAATTTATTTATATTTTGATAGATATCGTCTCTTTCATGGTTTATATAGGAGAGAAGTTAGATATTCAATATAGATATGAAGTCTCTTTGCCGGACATAATCACGGCCAGAGAGGAGAGACTAGAAGGTTGATGATAGTTCAGTTCGGCATATTGCCAGAAAAATCTCCTTTCAAGAAGGGGACAAAGAAGAAATGATCAACGACTACTTGGAAGAAGTAAAAAGAAATTTGCTTCGTTCCATCAATCAGTATGAGAAATCAGACACTTCAATGCAAAGTGAGACCAGCAACGATGATATCGCAGATGATTCCCAACCTATTGAATCAGAGAAGATATTATCTGATGAAGCCTTACAAGAGGCGGAAGAATTTCTCCGCAAAATGAAAGAGATGGAAAAGCGACCAGCACAGTAAAGCCGCCGGACCCCACTCAACAGTGAAGCCGCTGGACCCAGCCGCTGGACCCCACTCAACAGTAGATAAACTGTTTCAACAGTAGAAACACTATTCATCAACAGTAAAAACATTGTTTGCGCAGTAGAAAAACTGTACAGGGACCCATGTGGGACCCTATTTTGTTGTTCATAGATTCTTTTTCTTTTCTATTTAAACGATTCATTCTTTCAGAGAAGGGAAGCAGAAGCCAAACCCCTCTCTCTCTAAAATCTCTCTCTCTCTCTCTCTCTCTCTCTCAATTGTAATTAGAAGTTTGAAGTTTGTAATCGAAGAACAAAGTAAATAAAGTCTTCAGTTCTTCATCTTCAGGCCTTGCATCCCGGCCAAAAGGTACTTATTTTTACTTATAGTTTTTCTTCTAGTATCTCCTCTCTGGCCGTGACTATGTCCGGCTAAGAGACTTTATATCTATGTTGAATATCTAACTTCTCTCCTATATAAACCATGAAAGAGACGACATCTATCAAAATATAAATGAATTTTATATATAATTTCTTGACTTGGTTTCGAGATGGTTGGTACAGTCTAATATAGCACTACTCTTATTTGGGAGCCTAGGAACTTTTATAGTATATATGAGATAGATATAAAATATTCGACATAGATATGATTTTGTTTCTATGAATTTGGGAGAAACTAGTACGAAAAATACTAGATTAGAAGAGGTAAATATACCTCAAAATCTTGATTTGTTGAACAAATGGACAATTCCTAAAGTCCCTATTAGAACAATTTATGATTATGGATGGTTTGATAAACTTTCTTCAAAATAACTAGTTAAAACTACTGAGCAATCTTTAGCTTTAAACTCTGCTGAACAGACGATTCTTTTGTTAAACAAGCATGATTTAGATTTATATAAAAATCAGTATAATTATCTGCATGTTGGTGTGGTTCAAATTTCTTTTAAGCCATTAACCCTTAAAAGGTTACCAGATACGTTTTTGGCTACTCTCAGAGATGCTAGAAATCTGAATTTTAGACAGTCTCTGATGGGTTCTATTGAATCTACTGTGGCCCACGGTCCAGTATATTTTAATACTCAACCCAATCTTCAATTATCTCTATCTGATGTTAATATACTTGATGCCTTGACATTAAATGTGAAAACGCATGGTTATAATTATGCACCTGGTTCTGAACTTATATGTTTATCATATAGAATTTATTTTAAATTACTTTCTACGTTAAACCCCAGATGTAAACTCTATGATACATCCAATCAGACTATATTAGTGGAAATGAATTTTACAAAGTCTAAGGTCACCACGAGGAGACCTATTAAGTGGGAAGAGATTAATTTCCCAACTACTTGGACTTTGGATTCGGTGATATCCCCTAGTCAGATAACTAATGCTGTTAGTAATACTGAATATTCTCATATTACTCAAAATCCGGATGGTAGGATTTGCATTCAGTTTGATGATAATAGTTCCACTTATAATAGGCAATCATTTTCTAATAATAGACTTTTGCCTGCTATTAGTTCTAATTATAATAGACATTCATTTACCAATCGTAGACTGTTGCCTGATATTCAACATATTTCTCCTGTTGAACCAGTCTATGGACCAGCTAGAAATCGTGTTGTATCTTTGCATACAATTTCTACTAAAGTGGGTGATAAGCCAGTTGAAAGGGTTAAGATTAACCTCCAAACAAATATTGTTCAGGATAGTGATAATATTTCTGATAAGGATATTCCTTCTGCATCCGAAATGGATTTCAACCTCAATGATACTTAATGATCCCATACCAAATAGATTTTAGTCCAGGGTCACAAGCTAGAATTTATATTCAAAAGGAATTTTTTAGTGATAAATGAAATCAGTTTAAAACTTGGTTTTTTGATACTTATAGTAAAGATGATTTAAATAATATTTCTCAAGAGTTTTATGAAACTTGTGCTCTACATAATCAAATTATATATTTTGTTCCTTGGTTTATAACCACTTATTTACCACTTTATATAAAAGTTTTAGAAAGATCTTATAAAGATGGGAAGGGCAATATTACTAAAGCAATATACCCTCCTCAAGTACCTTTTGTTTTACCAAATAATACAGGTATTACATTTACTGCATTTCAAAAATTTATTGATGAAGATGTTGCTGCAGTCAGCATCGCAGAAATTAATAATTTGATTTCTCAAAATAATTATTTGAGTTTATATGTTAAAGTTTTGGGTGAACAAATCAGTTTTCTTGATAAAAAACTTGATGAATTAACTATTTTGATAAAAGATATGAGTACTAGCAAGAAGACAACTGATATTGCCTCTACGTCTGGAAGCAAATCAGAACCTCAAATTGCTCTTACTCATGTTCAAAGACCCCCTGAGATTCAGGATTTTAAATTTAAATCTTTAAATAATTTAGAAGAACTTCTTGATAAAAAGTTATCCGGTTTGAATATCAAACCTATTGATTTATCAAAAGATTTTGCTGATAAATTAGATACTACTTTTGATTACAAAAATAAAGTTTGGTCAGAGTTTAATAAACTCAGAGGTTATCCCAAAAAGAATAGTAGGCATGCTGATAAACCCAGAATGCAAATTTATTATTACGATCGTCCTACTCCTCAAGATGTCTTAATAGAGGAACGTGATTGGAATCAGACTAATATGTCTTATAGTGGTTCCGAAATTTATGAGTGGAATCTTGATGGATTGACTGATAGACAATTAACTATTCTTGTGCATAGAATGCTTATGTATGCAACTATCTATAAGAGTGTGAAAAATTTAGATAGAACTATTTGCAAAATGATTGTTGCAGGTTTTACTGGCCAACTTCGTGGCTGGTGGGATAATTATTTGACTGCTGATGAAAAGTTAATGGTTATTAATGCTATAGCCACTGACGAAGGAATTGATAACTTAGGCATGGCTCTTGTGAAAAATAGAGAAGATGTTGTTTATACCCTTGTCCTTACAATATTAGAACACTTCAATGGTAGATTTACTAATCAGCATAAGACAGTTCGTACTCTATTTAGTGGTCTTAGATGTAGGACCTTAGGTGAATTCAGACGGTATAAAGACACCTTTATGAGTAGAGTTATGGAGTTACCAGAAAATAAGTACGACCATTGGAAAGCTAAGTTTATAAATGGCCTTCCCTCATTATTTGCTGAAAGAGTTAGAAAGACTCTAAGAAGTAGCTTTGGTGAAATTTCGTACAAAGATTATACCTATGGTAAGTTGATAGGGATTTGCACACAGGAAAGGTTAAACCTGTGCAATGAGTTAAAATTATCTAGACAACTTAAGATGGATAAGCTTAAGGAAAGAAACCAATTAGGAGACTTTTGCACCCAGTTCGGTTTACCCGAGACTTCTACTCATAAGAAGAAGAAACACAAGTATCATAGATACCCTAACCCAGACAGTCCTTATAAGAAAAAGAGATCTAGATATAGATCCAAAGAAGAGCGTGATGCTAAGAAAGCCCATCGCAAGTCCACTAGATTTATCAAAAATAGGTCTAAGCATGATCTTGCTGATACCAAGTGTTATAAATGTGGAAAATTTGGCCATATAGCTCCAAATTGTAAGTTTCAAAAGATGAAAACCTTAAACTAGACAATGAGTTACGTGATAAGGTTTATGGTTTATTATACACTTCTGGATCAGAATCTGATTATTATTATTCTAAGTTAGAATCTGAAGCTGAAATAGATTTACTTGATTTATCTGATTGTGATAAAAATATTGATAATACTTGTGCAGTTTGCAAAGGTAATACATGTACCTGTGATGATGATGAATTTTATAAATTGCAATCTCAGTTCCAAGATTTGAACATGAAAACTATTACATCTGATAATGTAATAGAACTTTTAAAAGAAGTTACTGATGATAAACTTCATGAAAAAATTATAAATTTGGCTGCAAGTACTAGTTCAAGTTCTTCAAAACCTTTTGAAAACTCAAAAAAGGAATTTGAATATTCTGCTCCTTATTCTTTATTAGAGATTAATAACCGTCTTTTAAATAAAAGTACAACTCCAGCAAGAAATTCTTCTTTCGATGATTTAAAAGTTGAAGTTGAAAACTTGAAAAAAGAGATCAAATCTCTTAAACAAAATCAAATGATTTATGATCATAGGATTACTCAGATTGAGAAAATCAATTCTCCAGCTGAGAAATCTGATGATAAAAACAAAGGTATTTCTGAAAATGATATTGAAGAAAAACCTATTAAAATTGATTCTCAACATGATATGTTTTTGGGAATGATGCAAATTGTTACTGCTCATAGATGGTATATTAAATGTACTATTCTAATTGATAATAGTTTTTCTATCACAAATATTGCTATGATTGATAGTGGAGCTGATGTTAGCTGCATTCAAGAAGGTTTAGTACCTACTAAATATTTTCAAAAAACTACTCATATGGTAAAGTCTGCATCAGGACATGCTTTAGATATAGAGTATAAAATACCTAATACTGGTATTTTTCAGAATAAAGTCTGCATTCCTCACTTCTTTTTCTTAGTGAAAAATCAGTTATATCCTCCGATTATACTTGGAATACCGTTTATTAACGCTATTTATCCTTTCACTAGCATAGACTCAAAAGGTTTTTCTGCTACTTATAAGGATAAAGAAATAAGCTATACTTTTGTTACAGATCCCGTAACTAGAGATATAAATGCTTTAATTGATATGAAGCAAAGATATATTAATTCATTATAATTGGAATTGTTTAGTATGAATATATTCGATACTTTGAATTCCACTAAAGTGCAAGAAAAGATTAAATTGATTTCCGAAAATATTGCTATTGATATTTGTGCTGAGCATCCCAGTGCTGTTTGGAATAGAAAAAAGCATATTGTCACTCTGCCATATGAAGATAATTTGTTACACCCTATATTTTCGTACGTAAAAATGCGTCGTAAGCAAACTAATGTAGGACCAAA